GTTTTGAGGCAATCGCCTCCTTTGTAAATAAATCTCTTTACACTTTACTATTCCCGACTGTTGGTGACCGGTCACCAACAGTCGGGAATAGTAAAGTGTAAAGAGATTTATTTACAAAGGAGGCGATTGCCTCAAAACTGAATAGTGATGGAGGAAAACCATCCGGGCCTGCAGTAGAGGACGAATTAAAACTATTTAAAAGTCTGCTAATAGTTACGCACTACAAACATTGTGTGAGCATAAGCAGAAAGAATGTCCGACAGCTGGTGCAGGAATACAGCATTGAGTTAATTAACACTGAGCTTCGACCGTACTTTCTTCCTTCCACAGAGAAGTTTTATACATTGCCACAGGTGTTCGCTGTTTCTAGTCCTCAGAATTCGATCGGAAAATAAAGCGTTTATTCTATTTACTTCAGGCTTTGATAAGCCTGGTAGAGTGCCTGACAGCTGAAGCATTTTAAGACTTGTTTGCACGTTCTTTTTGTGGTCGGTGCGACTTTAGTAGTGCACAGGTTATCCTTCCGTTGGATACATACGAACTTTTAACACAGCAGCAGTAATTATGACTGGCATGTATTTTTGGAGTGAAAGGGGGACACATAAGAATAGAGAAGGAGATGATGAAAACCATAATCAAGTCTGCCTGAAAGATCAACTGAGAAAAGAAACACTTGTAGGTGAAAAGTTTGGAAAGAAAATGTGATATGGTTAGATCGAGAGAAAGATTTGTATGCACAGCGTGAATAAACTTTAGATAGAATTAAGAGTAAATGGTGGAGGCTGATGGAAATTGGTGCTTTTGTGCTGAAGAAAAAAATTGGGTGGCTTGTGATTACTCTGTCCAGTATAGAGTTATCTTTCCTGAGAGAGTGACAAAAATCTAGATCTAAACTAGGATAAGTACTACAATGGTTAAAGCTGCCAACAATTATGTGCAATTTACCATCAAAGAGGCAATAAAAGGTTCAAACTAGTCGAAGAATTGTGTACAGTAAGGTGATATATACAAGTTAGTGAAATTTGTAAGTAAAAAGAGAAAATCTTGAATGATATTGCACGGTTAGGCACCCAATACCATTTAAATGGTACTGGGAAATAGCATGGGGCTTGCCACACCAACGAACTTTTACATATGCTACAACGCCTCCTTCAGTCTTTTTTCCGTCGGTAAACGTGAAGGCCGTCTATCGACACTAGAGAGTCATCTACATCCTTATTCAACCAGGATTCTTGTACACAGACTGCGTAAGTGTTCATATGAATTTCTGATCGGAGGACACTAGTTAAATCCGACATTTTGGGAAACAGGGACCGAGTGTTAGTGCTGATCAATGAAGGAATAGTCATCTTGGACAAAGGGGTGCAATTAAGGCAGTTCACTATCCAGAAGTTCTACATTTTTTGGTCCAACCAGGAAAGTGAAACATCCGAGCTGCACAAGCTGATGGACCAAGAAAAGATGTCCTGGCAAAGTTGACACAAATAATGTACTTTCGTGAGTGGCGACGTCGCATGATATTGAGTGAAAATTCCAAAGTGACAGAGAGCGTGTAAACGCAGCGCAGCCAATCGAAGGGCGCAGCATACCGCGATCTGCTTAAGTCATTAGAAATACCAGGGAAAATACCCACAACAACAGCATTAGCATAATATTAATTATAGTAATAACAATAACTTTATCACACATTCGACACGATAACTAACCAGTTCTGCCTGATCATCCAGATTAGCTTCAAATAAAGCGATAACATGTTGAATGAGTACAGTGTCCCGTGAGAACCCCCAGTGACGTGCCAAGATTGTGGCAGCATTGGTGAATAGGGTGTAGACATCCAATGTGTTGTATGTATGACGACCAGGCGAGTGGTGGGACGCGCGACCAGAGGACATTTGTGACTCGACAGAGTCCGAGGATGGTGACTGCGAACGGCGATCTGCTCGCATAGCGTGAGCCTTATATGACTCAGCGTAAGATTGCACGGAACGATCGATTAACCAGGTGATAAACAAACGTCTGCGATTATCCAATCCCATATCGGATTCGGCAGAGGCGGGATACATCGCCCAATTGGGAGCGTGACTTACGAGTAAAGGTTTAGAATCCTAAAACGGTTTCAGGGTTGCAAAAGAAAATATGGTAGATGAATGATTTCTTCCCAGAGAAATTATGTTTATGACAATTTAAGTAAAGGAAATGCATTACTTTCCCATCTGGGAATAAAACACTATTTTATGAGCCAGTTTATCACAAGCTATTGTGTGCTGGGAGATGGTGTGAGCTCACGGAAAATCATACTACACGAATAAACGTCTGAGTGATCTGGATGTGGCACCTCATTTTGCAATAAACCACGAATCATAGTAAGATTCTGCGCTACAAAGAGAAAATATTAAAACACATTTAAGTGGGTTCAGAGAAAATGTATGAGATACCAGGCTCGATAGAAAGAAGGACTGAGTTGTTGGGAGATGGTGAATCAAAAATACTATCATCAGAGTATTGTATCACTAAGAAGTCAGTGCGAACAGGTATAGAAGCTAAGTAGGTCTAAAAGAAAAAAGGAGACAAAATGTCTCCCGGAAGAAACCCGAACTCGGAAGCTAGGGCTGAGGAAACTTTGCCACAGTAACGCGTAAATTGTTTTCGAAAGGAAAAACAATTACTT